GTTTGCTCCTCTCTCTGTCTCTCTCTCTCTCTCTCTTGGACATGGGGGACTGTCAAATCCCCCGGGCAGAGTGCCCACCCAACGTTTTGTTGGGAGCAAGGGAGTGAGTAACGAGTATAAGTCACTTTGAAGCTAAAGCCATAAAGAATACGATGATGCACTAAGTGACTGTATACTCTCGATGAAACATGCAATTGTGCTAAGATTGTGTTCCCCCGGCTGTAAAGACAGTACGAAACAATAAAGGGCATCGAGGGAACCTGCATGGTTGGCACAAGTGAAGTCATCTCGACTTCCACACAAGACTTCAGGGGTATAGCAAAAGTATAGTCGGTCGAATTTAGCTTCCCCCACGCATGCACTGAGCGAGGTTTAGCGATGACGGATCGGTTGCGAAATAGGCACTGACTGCAATATGCAAGCAGATTACAAATCAGAATACAAGTCTCCTGCGGAAAAATCCCCCGCAAGGGCCTTGAGGTTTCCAAAAACTTCAGATCGGTGGGTGGCCGAAACCACCATTGAAAATGTCATTGGGCGGCGCGGGTTGCAGGCTCCCCCGACAAAGGAGCAGGTAAGCTCTGGTCTGCGTAAGGAGGGGCATCTGAAGAACGAAAGTTGTTACAACAGTCAAAGACCACAGTAGTACAAGGGACCGACCCCCGTACCTTTACACCAAAGGACAACTAACAACATGGTCACAGCCCCTGTTAAAGAGTTGGCACCAGACGAAGTTTGACGCAAGCAATACATGCAAAACTAATTAGCGCTCACTCCCCATTCAGTAGTTCACGAGGTCGGCGTACACGTCACGCAAGAGCAGCAGGTTGGCTTGCATGTCACGAGCCAGGTGGCACATGCTGTCTCGGACGACCATTGCTTACTCCCTGCCCCATGTCACCTTTGGGCTGGCGAAAACAACAAGAAGGAGTCGGTTCCCTCACTTTCCGTAGTTTAAAGTTTGTGAGCTCGCCGATGTTGCCCAACAGCTCAACCGTCCGAGTGAGGTAACCCCCCGCCCAGCGTACACGCAGTCTTCCACCGAACACTCGAGGAACTGTAAGACCTCGACGATGTAGGCCTGGCTAAGGTCCCCCACGAAAGCGAGGATGAGGGCGATCTTGCAGTCACACTCTCGGCGAAGCCGTCAAAGTGTCGCGATCTCTGGGATGAGCTTTATGGCTCCAGGCACCTATTTCCCCAGCTAGATTTTACGTTGAAGGAAGGCGGGGGTCGGGGCGAGCACCCCCGACGGCTTGCCCTCTCTCTCTCTCTCTCTCTTCTTCTTCTTGTTCCTATTATTCTTCTTCTTCGCTAGGGCTTGAAGGGCATGTCAGGCCACCGCACTTTCTGGTGCTTGGAAGGGCGCGAAAACTCGTATGTTGACCACTCCCCCGGATCTCTGTCTCTGTCTCTGCAAGTCTGCTTCTTGCTGCTTCTCTCTTTGATTCTCTGCCTCGCTCCGTCTCTCTCCTCCCATGTCCTCGTCCCTACACAACAAGCCAAGGCACCATCTTTGAGGACGAGGCGACCCACAGCGGCTTCTCCAGAGTCATGTCCCCGCGCTCCTGGGCTGTGGCTCCCTGCTTGCTAGATGCCAAAGCACGATTTCCGGTGCGCATCCTACAGTACATGGCTGCTCTGCAGGCAAGGCCAGGCGAGCACATAGCGGGTGCACACAGTGCTGCGAACGAACATGCTGATCCCGGGATCCACGTGAAAAAGGCGCTGCTGCCCATCGCCCACTATGAGGGCGATGTCCTCTGCGGAAGGATCTCAAGCAGACCCCACTTGCGAAGGCTTGTAAGTGAGTCGTGAGCCCTGGGACAAATAAGCGACTTTGTGGAAGCCCTGAGGCCAGTAAATCCCTTGTCAGAAACATGACGATCCACGAACGGCGTTCCGGCCTCGATCAGCGGCTGGAGGTGCAAAACTTGCCTGCCATGCAGGCTCGTGCAGGCTTGCGAGGCGATGCGAGCCAGTAGATGAGGCAGCGTGACAGAATTATGACCTGGCACCACCAAATGGACCTTAAAGGTCCCACCACAACCTGTGATGTATTGATTTTGCTTCTGGTCAACTGTGTTGAAACAGTCTCAAGGGGCCTCACCCGCTCCCAATGGTCTGCCGGCGCCGCGAAGCACACCGTCGCAAAGGCAGCGACGAGCCGGCCCCACATTGCCCGCCGACGGAAAGATCCCGGCAAGGCGTCTGCTCGGGCCCTGAATCCTAGAGGTCCTAGAGTCCTAGAGCCCAAGCTGAGAGAGAGTCCGAGCCTGGAAATCTAGAGCCCTGCCGCATCTACAAGTTGTCTTCCAGAGAAAGCCAGCGCGGCATTATCGGCCTGTCCTCGACTACGACGGCGATCACTATATTCACTGGTGCCACTAACGCTCCCCGTACTGCTGCGACCAGTAGGACTTCGGCCACGGCTACTCGACGGCTCCGACACCAACCCGGCTGCCCGGCTACTGCTCCTGCTGCTGCTAGCATCTGCTACCGACTGAGCTCTATGACGAGAAACACGACGATTCGGAGCACCTCATATAGCCTTAATAATCAGAATAGGGTTTTGGGGCCCATTATACTGTAATATAAAAAAAAGGAACCCCAAAAAAGGATTGGTCATTATTTAGGCCCCTATACTACTACGGACGTACCTCAGTGATTGTGCATGTTAGCAAAACGGTCAATGACTGATTAGAGTTCACGGCCTCTGTTTTCCACCGTGCACGCATACGCACCAGCCCTCGAGGCTTCAGGAGCATGGATTTCGAACGACAATTCCGACGGTTCTCAACCTCATACGATTTGTCGGTGATGCCATCTGCAAGATCACAGACACCGGTGCGATTTGCACGAACAACACGATGAATCCTATGTTTCTTCGCAGCAGTACCTCGGCGATTTGGTTTAGTGACGGGCTGGAAGACAGTCTAAACCCCAAACCCCGTGTCCAGGCCGCAGGCAAGGTCCGGGCGACGCCTTCAGTAGGCGGCTGCACAGCGGTTTAGGAAGGCCTTCAGATGCGTGGATGAAGACATGGAAGACTTCCGGCAAGACTCTGGATGGGCATGACAGGGATGTAGGAATACAGCCTATGAGCACACATGCTGCATGCCGCGTTCACCAATCCGGGCCAGCCACCTAAGCATGAGCTCTTGAAGGTAATATCCCCATTAAGGGATTGGGATGCATCTAAACGAGAACTCGAATCGATTTGAAGCTGCAGCTCTCCTACACAAGACTACATGAGCTGTAACGAGGGGATTGTCGATTCTAGGTGTCCTTTGTGAAAGAGGGTGGTCTTCAGAAATCCCAGTACTTGGGGTCTATACTCTATACTAGTCTATACTTCCGCCCCTCAATTCTGAAACTCTCAGATGCCGCCTGAAGCATCGGTTGGGGGTCAATGGGTTCTCGAGATGACCTTTTGCTACATGTTCTTCTCGAGGCCATGGGGATGCTTATGCCAGCTACGGTCCGACACGTTCGCATGATGAAGTTCACTCATGCGAAGCAGATACCTGGCCTCATGCTTGTAGATAGATGCCGACGATAGAACACTTCCTCAAATGTGTATACAAGAGAGAGAGAGAGAGAGAAGACCATCTGCGGCGAAGTTTCCTTTCCCGCCCCGGCTCGGCCCTGAGGAGCTTGTCGGCCTACGACTCCAGAACGTAGGACGTAGGATTCCTCGACGTTTGTGGCAGAGGCCGAGGGCCTAATTACCAGTGTGGGGCGAAGGGGACGGAACTACCTCCGGCAGACACCTCAAGACGGGTGAAGTCCACGATCTTGCTGGGTTGGGGAGAAACTTGCGATTCTCGCTTTGTGCGAAACAAGGCGAGCTTCGTACAGGGGACCTAAATCCACGGAACGAGGCCCTGAGTAGGTGATGCTTTGGTTGGGAAAGAGCAAACAAGGAAAACTATCACGACCCATCGGAAGCCCTGCATTGCTCGTTGTTGGCATAGGGTTTTGGATGGGTTATGTGCCACATCTTCGAGAAGCTCCGGGGCTGCACCCCCGAATCTGCGGGCGCAAGAACGGTCAGGTCACAAGCAGTGCAACCGTAACACTGTCTGGAAACCTGCTGAAAATTAAACGCTCGTGAGATTCGAGGAGCCCTGAACCCAAACTGCCCGAAAATTCTCTTGCTGCCGCGAGAGAACACCTTCTGGGATGAGATCTCATGAATCACAACACCCTGTACATCAGTTAGGATCTACTTAGGCTTTCTTGAGGGGGCCTGTGTTACGCACCCGCTAAAACCCGGCTATAAGCTCCACCTGATGGCCAGACCCCGGGAGTGTCTAGGAAGTAGAACCACCCATTCGGCACCCTATACGCCTGGATACCGTATAGGAATCCGGAAAAGCGCAAACATCCCTGAAAAAGAAATCCTGCTTGACAACTCAAGGGGAGGTGCGTAGTTCCGGCATCACATCTCTCCGTCATCAGGGAATCTGCGCAGAGGGCCGGAGTTCGAGCGCCATTTCCTTGACGTCTTCTGGGCACTACTGATAGGCCTTAAGGCTGCCTAGTCATTGCTTCAGGGCCTTGGGTGGGCTAGCTTCACGGCCTTTCATAGCGGCCTCAACGACTGGAATAGGGTTTTGGGATGTCAGTATGGGGATTCTTTGGAACCCACACAAATGTCAGCTTCTGGGTACACTCCGAACAATAGTCCGAAGAGAAAGGGGGTGTCAGAAACATGAAGGACCAAGCAGGTCCTCACTATCAGGACCATCAATAAGGGAACCCTCATTACCTCATTTTACGAATTCACTTCATCCGCTTCAACACCCAGCTTTCGGGACACCATCTGAAGCAGATTGAACACTGAGTTTGTGCTGGGGCTAGGGGCTGCCGCGTGGATCTCGCCGCGCAAGATGGCTCGCCGAGTAGCTTCGGCTCTCCTGACTTGCTTGCAGTATCCGTTAAAGGAGCTGTACTACAAATCTATTCTGTAATCCTGAGGATAAACAGGCACGAACTACTCACTGCCCCCTTTGAGGAGCAAAGTCGTTTCAAGCAAGGGCTTCCCTTCTAAGGCTGCTCTGGAAGAGCGCCAGCTTGTCCTGCAGAGACTCGAGGTTTTGACCGATAGTTCTGTTGCCTTTCTTTGAACCTGGAGCATCCTGGAGCAATATCCCATCAGCAAGGAGCAACGTTCAGGGGATGTGTGTGGAAATCGATCACCACACATTCCAAGCCCTTTTTGGAAGGAATGGACTTGGCTGATGCCAGCTACACATGACGATTGCACGTGTATGAAACAAGAGCAATTGGTATCATTCACAACCCTGAAACCCACATTGCTGTTCGTAGCGCGTAACGAGGCCCTTTTCCCGATTTTGCCTCAATGGATGCACTTTTCCGAAGCTGACGGCTTGACTGCGACTCAACTCTGCACTGAGGGTTTTGCATCTGGGGGTAGTGTTCAGGCTTTCGACGTTCGGCTGCAGCGTGTGGGGAACCTTTGCGGCCTAAACCCTACATCGTGTCACCAGGCAGCTGTCGCAGGTACTCTGGCAAGGAGGAGCAGGCTGAGATCGACGCTGGAGGCGGCGGCACCTCAAAGATCACAGAGTGGATTCTTGAGTCGAGGCTCTTTCGGGGGTTTTGAATAACTTACTCCTCGGGGAGCCCCAAAGCGGGACGCTTGTTTAGAGAGACCCGTACGTCCTCTCGCTCTTACTTGCGGCCTGGCGATCATCCTTGGATGCTCCGGGCATGTTCGAGGGCACTGTCAGGCTGTGCAACTCCTCGACCACGTCCTTAAAGACTATTCCAGGCTGGGGGGGTCCCGCGCTACCATAGTTCCAGTTAAGGTTGCAAATGTTGAAAGGACCGTTCCTGTCATGCTCATGATTGCCGTCAGCACCAGCACAGGCAATGCTTCTCAGCACCGGCACAATGCCACGAGTTAAAGCAGGATCGGAGCACAAACACGACTGCAAACGGCAAAAATCATTGATTACTGACTTCTCTGGCTGCACCGTTGTCAACATCTAGCAATGCCACATGCTCCATCTGGACGGCCACAACGCCAGCAAATCGGAAGCTTAAACATAACACTAAACATGTAATTCTTCATTGAAATTACGACCGGCCTTTGAGACTCTCACTCAAAAGATACATGTGCGCATCACAATTCATGCCGCTCTACCTGGCTTGCACCATGATCACCGGTGATAGGCAACATCAGCACCAACATCCTGTGTATGATTTTCCGTGGGCCTTCTCACTTCTCACAATTATTTCTGCCTTGGATACCACTCTTACCATTACGTGCAACCACAGCCAGTCTTGCCACTGCCCTGCGTCCAATTGATATTTCCAACCTGTCTTCGGCAAGCCTAGCCTGGCAGTATTACCCCCTGGCCGGAATGATGTCATTGCTCAGTGGAAAAGATAAGGCAGTAACAAAAGAGTAAGCACTGCTCTTGACCTTGACAGGCAAAGGTGATGGAACCGCATCTGCGTCCTATCAAGATTTGAGGACATATCCTCACAACCATGCTGATGCAGTAATCAGCAAAACTTCGAAGAACAGTAAGAAGAATCACGCTATATGATTGTGGCTGCTCTTGTTCATCTTGGCAGACTTGTCGTAGCATGGCTCTTGGTATTGTTTATAGCCTTACCAAGAAAACTATGACAACGACTTACGACATGCACACGAACAAAGCTCTAGGCCCAGCATCGCTTCTCGTAAACGAGCTAGTTGAAGCACCATCTCTGTAAGTCGATGGATTACCCAAAGGACCCGGGCAATAAAGATCTTCAGCTGTAGCTTCACAAACCCACAACCTTCTACTCACACCAGCAGGCCCCGAATGTCGAGGTCCGAATACTTAATTCTCATACCACCTCAAACGCTGCGTGAGATATTGAGGCAGCTACATGAACAACCTTGTACCCAACCCTGCGAGGAAGGTTATTCATTCTTCGCGGTACAGCGACCTTCTGACGGAAAGGGTGAAAGCGAGCCAAGATCTGTGGGTGGGTCGTTGAGGCTTCAGACGACGCCGCTGTTACTGGAACCAACATAAATTTCTGGAAGGAGTGAACGGCGAAGTTAGTCGAGGAAATGGCGCCTTCATCGTGGGACGGGCCGAAGGCTCAACAGGCCCCGCCGGCCGGTGCTTGCTCGGAAGCATGGGCGGTGGCAAAGAAGAATAGCGGGAGCAGCGGGGCCGAGGCCTCTCGAGAAGAAAGCCGTCTTTTGCGGGACTGGCTTCCATTTTTACCGCCCCTGGCAGCGACAGCGAGGAATCACCGCCCCACGATGTCCAGTGCGAAAGTGCAGAAGCCCACGACCGGCAGGATCAAGCCGAAAAACACCACGAACCTGCAGGACTTGTTGGCGGCAGCAAAGTGCGCAAGAGCTGATGCACCTCGAAATGAAGAGCTACCTCTTATCCGAACAGGGAAACAATTGGCCGGAAGGGCCGCAAGAGCCGGGACGAGGGACACCTTGGTGGCTCCTCCGACGAAGACGAAGATTTCGGGAAGAAAGGGCTCAAGGCCGTGAACACTCCTCACCGCCTTAACAAGCGTCCCCGGAAGATCTACATGGACTTCGAGCGCGACATCATCGAGGCGCTCGGAGTGGCGGGCGTGGTCGGTCCACGATTACTTGCGCCGCCGCGGGATGCAAAGATGCGCAGTGCAAGATGCAGCAGCCTACGAACTTCTACGTTCCGGAACGACAGAGGGCGCGAAAGCACACCAGCGCAAAATATGAACAGCGGGATACAGACGGTCTTGTTCACGGGGCTCCCCGACCCGCTGACAAAGCGGGAGTTCGGGGGGTCAAAAGGGGAGCTAGCAGTTGTGAGCGGGTACATCGGTGCACTGGCAAAACTCACAAAGAGTATGAAGACGAGGAGACCCGAGACCAGGGGCCACCACCGCAAGTGACGTCGCCGAAGGAGGCTACGGCTGCCCGGGCTGTACAGCGTTCCCGCTCCTTCGCGGCAAGATTTTAGGCGATATTACACGTGGTTTAGATGAGCGGTTTGGCGAAAATGTTCCCCTTTTTCCGTGCAGTCCTCCCTACCCGGAATCAAGTAAACGTAGCAAGACTTGATTGTGGCTCCTTTAAAGGGCCCCTGAGCTGAGGACAGGAAAGGCTCCTTTCAGGGTTCCCGGCCTCCTCGGGTGCCTCTTCGGAGCTCTCGGAGATCGCAAGGGTCTCGCTGGCCAAACTCCGCGAGGCATCCTTTAGGCTGCTTACAGTAAGCCTGAGGTTAGGGCTTTTTGCCGGGTTTAGGCAGTCCCTTCTGTTAGGATTACGGCTTTGGGTTTGGGTGTTTTTGTTGCCTCCTGCTTTGCTGAACATCTGGGGTTTTATGTTTTTATTGCTTACGGTGTTAGGGTTTTGACACCGACCTGACCTGCACAATTCAAGGTACGGCTGAACCGCTGGAGTCCACAGTTTAGCAGTTTACCAGACTCCCAATTAATCTCCAAATCCTCAGGTCTTAAATCCGAAAACAAGGGGTCGTGTAAAATCAAGACTCCACCATTTGGACTCTTATTTGGTGTTCTTTGTTTTCCCAAGAGCTACTGCACCCTTCTGCTGCAGGCTTGCAAGCCAGAAGCTGTACCCCCAGTGTACCCCCAAACCCCAAACCCGAAAACGAAACGTAAAGCCCAACCAGCACCACGGAGCTCCCAAAACCCCCAGGAGCCCGTTCCTGCGACTGACGTCCCAAGGCTTCCGCCACGCTCCGCAGCCTCAGCGAGGCCCGACGCTCGGCCTGCAATAGAAGTCAACATCTGCTACTACTGCTACTACTGCTACCACGACTGCTACTGCTGCTACTACTACTACTCCTCCTCCTGCTGCTGCTACTTCATTCTACTTCTAGTTCCACTTCTACTTCTACTGCTACTTCTGCTACCACTACGACTACGACGACTACTACGACTACGACTACGCCTACGCCTACGACCACGACCACGACCACGACCACGACCGCGACCGCGACCGCGACCACGACTACGACTACGACTACTACTACTACTACTACTACTACTACTACTACTACTACGACGGCTACGACTACGACTATTACGACTACTACGACTATTACGACTATTACGACTATTACGACTCTTACGACTACTACTGCTACTACTAGTACTACTACTACTACTACTACTACTACTACTACTACTGCTACTACTGCTACTACTCCTATTGCTACTCTACTACTTCTACTACTACTACTACTACTACTACTACTATTACTACTACTAGTACTACTATACTACTACTATTACTACTACTACTACTACTACTACTACTACTACTACTACTACTACTACCT